TGAGCAAAAGTGGTTGAATTAGAGCTCTAATCAACTACTTGAAATGGATTTTTCAAACTTGAAACCAGCTTTTCTTCTGCTGCTAGTCCATCAAAAAAAAACTGATAGTCTGCAAGGAAGAAAGCTGCAAAGGAACGGTCCAAAAAAAACAAAAGAGCGGGGAAATTCTGGCAAACATTTTGTTGTTTCTGGAGGGGTTTGAATAACAAAAAGAGATCCAGAACAGGAAGTAAAGAAGAAAGAAATCACAGTGCACCATGTTTTTGCCTCTGAAAGAGGCTTCGCGTGAAAAGCCTCGCAGCCTTGTGACTCGGGCAGAACAGGACGGACGTCATGAGCTGTTGTCAGCTTGCGTCGTCAGCCACGCGTTTGCACTGAGGTTTGCCAGAGAGTGAGGGGAAATCAGGGTGATGCTAAGTGAAATGCTCATTTTGCGTTTGTGATTACCAAGGCCCACGGGCGATGTGCACTAATGTGAGCTAATGCAATAGATTACACAGTGCTGGCCCAGGGGAACAGACAGCAAACAGATGTCTTCTCAAAAAGAGAGGAAGAAAGAGAGGGGGAGTAAAGGGGGTGGGAGAATCAAAATTTAAAGTCTTCAATGTGCAGAAGCTGGTGCTGAGGAGCTGTGATAAGTTCTGTCAGCCATTTGCTTTTTTCTAGATGGACGTATAATCAGTCTGCAAACGCACACATCTCACGAGGGTTTAATTAATTAACACTTTTAATTGTTTGTCTTCAAAGGCTGAGAGGGTGAGTAAATTCCTGCAGATGTCGCCTTTGACAGCTGATGGACAACACCTGTGTGCATCAGCAACAAGGGTGGAGCTACGAGTGAAGCGTTAGTTCAAAGCATTCCTTTACGAACTTTTCAAAATAAGTGCAATTACTTAAAATGATAGTCAGTATTGTGGCTAATGAAAAATGCGGCTTTAGAGAATAATGAGTTGTCGGCCTTCTTGTTTTTTAATGTGATTTTTTAAATTCTAACTGTCCTGCAGCAGTCTGCTGCTCTCTCTGACCAGACAAGCCTTAGTAAACAGCGCCCTCTGGTGGCCTGTTTGAGTCTTTAAAGTTATGAGAGCAGGGGGCAGAAATCTTTACCAACACATATTATACAGAACAATCTACCTGGCTATACGTTTGTGTAGACGTTCAGATCCTGACGAAGTCTCCAATCAAACCTTCAAAATAATCTACATTACTCCTAAATTAAAGACTTTGTTTCAAATAGAATATCATTTTCTTCATTTTTAAGTATTTGACTAAAATAAACTGTATACAAAAAAAGACTTTTAGGGTCACTTTGTGCAGGTCTCCAGTCCATCACAGGGAGGAAACCAGAGAACCAGGAGAAAACTAACTCCGAGGGTACAGCCAGGATTCAAACCTGTGACGTTCTTGATGGAAGGCAACAGTGCTACCAACTGTTTGTCCAGCTCAGTGGCCTAGTGGTATGTGTCTGCCTCGAGACTGGGAGATCATGGGTTCAAGTCCATGGTTGGGTCATACCAAAGACCGAACTAAAAGGGACCCAACGCCTCACTGCTACACAATCAGCATCAAGGGGTTGGGGGTTAAACCACCAAATGGTTCCTGCAAGGCTGTGTCTGCAGCTCACCGCTCCCCCATGGGATGGGTCAAGTTCAGACAAATTACACACGCACGCACACACACACACACACACACACACACACACACACACACACACACACACACACACACACACACACACACACACACACACACACACACACACCAGGGTGACAACTAGCGGGACTTGCAGACCCCTGTACATGTAAGTATAAAAGAAAGCAAAATAAAAGAAAAAACAAATACTGTGGTTAGTATTTTTGATTAAAAGACCTTTTAAAAAAATTCTCTTCGTTATAAGATTATGTGCATTTCCACTGTGTCGTGTTCTGATTTCTCAGAACTTTGCAAAACCACCTCCCACTTTCACAAAATATCAGTTTTTGCAAATTTGACATTGGTCAGTGAGACACATCTTAACAATCCATACGTGTTGCAGCCAGGTGAGTGGATCAGCGATGGGAAAACATGACCCAAACTTCAGTGGCAGGATGTCCACTCTTACCTGACCGACACACCAAGCGCGAATGTCTGAAATCCTACAAAACTCTGGATGCCTACAGCTGTGCTCTTTAATGGACAACTACGTTCAGGACACACTATTGCACCATTATAATACTGAAAACTTTGTAGCTATGAAGACTGAGGTTCTGCTGAGTCAAAGACAAGAGAAGAAGACCGAGATGAACAAAGTCTGGGTCATTGTAAACAAGAAAAATGACTGCATTCTGACCGTGAACTGCCCCTGCATGGCTGGGAGTGGTATGTCCTTTCTAATAATATGTTGCTATAAAATTAACATTAGCATGATTTCCACAAATAACTATTTTAGTCACTGTCATCATAAACACTTCACAACTGCTGCAGTTTAACACTGGTGCTCTGAGCGAATACATGTTTGTTTATTTGACATTTTATCCAAAGCAACGTACAATTTATTTTTTTTACTTGTAGGGCATGTCGTGACCTGTGGGGGAAACCGGAAACCCACGCATGCATGGAGAGAACACGCAACTCCACGCAGAAAGGCCACAGCCGAGTTTCGAACCTGCAACCTTCTTGCTGCAAGGCAACAGTGCTAACAACAGCGCCACCATATATATATGAGGATCCGCACGAAGGGTCGTCTGAATGAGTGAGGTAGCACACAGATTGTGTTTGATGCTGTTCTTCTAAGAAACGACTCAGTTAGCTGCAAAACACAATCTAGTGTGTTGGACTAGAGCTGGGGTGGGGAACCCTGGTCCATTGAGGGCCGCTATCCAGCATATTTCCTTTTCAACCCTGCATCATCACACTTGATTTCAATCAGCAGGTGATTGACAGGCTTCTGCAGCGCCTGATGAGCTGCAGAACATGTGAATCAACCACTGAGACGGGTTGGAGCAAAGACATGCAGGATACCGGCCCTCGAGGACCAGGGTTCCCCACTCCTGGACTAGAGAAACAACTAAAACATGCTGGATATCGGCCCTCGAGGCCCAGAATTGAATAGCCCTGAAATAGAGTGTATGCAGGGCCAAGTGTGTTGCGTAACTGCAACTAGAGAGCAAAGCAGCGCTTTAGTTTAAGGTATGGGCACATGCGTTTGAGGTATGGAACCAAAAGCTTCAAGTTGAGTTATTTTAGTCCAAGCATGGGTCTATACGGTTCAAGCAACAGGCAACAACTGTATTAGTGTGGGAACTCCAGCTATTGCAAAAAATGTTGGAAAAACTGCCAAGTCGCCTTTTTGGTAAAAGTTACAAAGAGTCACTTGAGGAGGAAGATCTACAGGTTGCAAAGCCATGATGTCACATTTACCATACCACTGTTTTTGTTGAGCGCTTTCACAAAGAACTGCATGGATCAGTAAAAATCATACTCCGTAAAACTAATAGTCACTAAATTCAACAACACATTTGAAAAAGTGTTTTTCAAATATCATGCAGCCCTGAAATAACTAGTGTTTGTTCACCTCAGTATCTGAAACGGGTCCCGATCAAATCTGTGGCAAGATTTCCAGCCAGTAGGGTTTTGTTCTCTGTGCAGATGGAGGAATTAGAATGTCTGGATGTCATAAGTGCGGCAAGGTGGAGTCAACACAGAAATCGACTTCAACAGGGTTGCTTCCAGAGGTTTTAAAAGGGGGGCCAGGCTACTTGAAGTGGAACACCAAAACCCAAATCTAGAACAGAATTCCAGTTTGATATTTTTTGCAATATGTTAAAGAAGCTTCTAATATAGACCTTCTTAGGCCCTGTCCACACGTAGCCGGGGATCTGCCAAAACGTAGATATTCTTCTACGTTTTGGCTTGTCATCCACACGAAAATGGAGTCTTTTCACACTAAAACGGATCTTTTTAAAGACTCCGGCCAAAGTGAAGATCTGCGTTTTCTCCGTTTTGGGTGTCTGCGTGGGGACAGACCAAACCGGAGTTTTAAGGTCCGCAACGTCACTTTCCGCCACAAAAAAATGCTGACATCACGTGTGCGACCTGTGTTTACACTAGCCGACAGCATGGATGCCCTCAGAGCTGCGCTCGCTTTATCAATCGTCCAAGCGCTTTTTGCTTGTTTGTTTTTGCAAGCGGAATTACTGCTCCTTGCGGAAGACCACAGACGAAGGACGAGGTTAAGAACGGGGGAAGTACTGCCGCCTACAGGTCTGGCATGTCCTTAACAACGTATTTATCCGGGTACGTGTGGACAGAGTTTGTTTTAAACGAGGTGGTGTGGATGCAAGTTTTTGGAGGGGCGGATATTCGTTTTTTTTAAACAGCTACGTGTGGACTAGGCCTTAGTTAAACAGCTTCTGTTGTGAAGCTACATTTAATGGAGATATTCAGTTTTCAGCTTGAATTATTCCCACTTTGCAATAAAAGAGCTTTTCTTTAAGCAATTTAATTTAAACAAGTCTTACTAACACGCCCCAAGCTTCCAGCGCTGTAGACTTGAAACTTCAAAAAAATAACTTAAATAGTACTGAGCACGGTATTCAATTAAGGAATTATAATTTAATAGCCGACTTATGATAAATGACTCATACTTGTATAGCACCTTTTAGAGTCAGAGGACTTCAAGCACTTTACACCAACGGTGTACCATTCATCAGTTCACACACTGATGATGAGCTACGACATGGCCACAGCCGCTCTGGATTCACACGAAAACAAAGAGATCAATCTGACAGGATAACGACGTCAAAAAGATTTCATTCATTTGCGTTAAACCAGTGCTCGTGTTGTTTGTGACTCTGAAATATAGAAGCGTTGTGGTATCTGTTTTAAAGCCCCAGAGCCACAGCGTGCAGAACCTGGACTAAAAACAACAAACATGGAGAAAACCGTCCTCGATAATTGAGTCGAAGCCTTTGATCTGAAGCGGGCAGTCTGGGGAACACAGGTGATGAATCAGGGAGGAGTCAGGTGACTACTTCATTTTATTACGGAAATGTCACAAATTTCAAAACAACGTTTACATCGGGTTTACAACATAGAAAAAAACTCGACCCTATCCGGTCTCTAGAGCGTTCTAAACAAGCTGACCTGAGATGCTCCTTCACAGTGTTCAGGTCATTAAATAATTCCACACAGCTGCTTTAAGCCGTTTCACCCTTAAACTGCAGTCAAGATGCGTAAAAAGTCTCTTGATGGAGACCGTTGTGAAAACCTAAAGAATTACAGGTGATGGATTTATGGGCCAGATGATCAGTGTCCACCTACAACATCTGTAAACATCTGCCTCTAGGCCACAGAAGGCTCACTTGATGCGATAGCTGCAGCAGCTTTCTGATGAAGTCTCGTCCCACGAGGTAGAGCATGTCAAAACTCAACGGAAAAACAACGGACCTGCTAGTGAACTAATGACAGCATCAAGAACTTACAGAACCTCCTCCCATCCAGCGCCGGGCTGCCAGGACATCATCAGAGCAGCGATTTCTCTCACAATCGTTTCTTTGGCATTAGCTTGTTCTGACCTGACATTATTCATGAAATCTCAAAACTAAATGCACACACTGATATTTGAACATTAGTGCGGTTCAAATATAAGCATAGTAGCTGTTTGGGGTGAAGCTATCCCAGCGAACACCACTTTAGAAAGAACTTTTACACGGAGGACCCAACTTCTATTGAAAGGAACTAAGCGTAAACCGAAATCTTTACAAAAATATACTCCTATTGAATAAGCAATACATTTAAGGAGCAAAACCACTTTGACCCGTGTCAATCACAAATTTAACCCATTTTCCAAGAAGTTGTCCAAATTATGGTAGCAGCACTGTTCATATCTAGAGAGAAACGAAAAGAAAGACTTTAAAATGTTTCAAACACAAATGTACTAATTACATTCAGCTCTAATCTAATTTAGTAAGGATTAGAACATTAAAGTAAGGCATCACTCCACAAATACTTACTGATTTTATTGTTTTTGACCTTAGGAGGTTTTGTCTGCGGTCCCATAACGCTGGTTTGAGAATGAGCCTGAAGGCCCTCTCTGGAGGTTGGGCAGAGCAGGCAGGTGTTGGTACAGCAACGTTCTGCCTACAGGGAAAAGGTCTGACATGAAAGAAGGCCATCTTAGATTAACAAAGCAACTGTTAACTCGTTCACTGCCAATGACGACTAAAGTCGTCATTTGCATTTTTTTTACTGTTTGAGCATCAGAACGAGCCCCCGCGCTGAGAGAACAAACATCTGAGCCTTGAAGCCGATCTTCATCCATATACGTCACAGATCACATGATCAGGAAGCAACACATCCATGTGTTTGGAGATCGTTTTGGGCCGTTCCTGTAAAAAAAGTGAGGCGCGAACCGGAAAAGCGTCTGCCGATCACAACTCAACTACGGATTATGAAAGAACGGATAACGCTCGAAACACGCGGACTCTTCCTGATGTAAGAGGTGAGTCTCCTCTTTGTTTTGGTTGTTTTGGCATCGACATCATGCTAGCGCGCAACGTTCTGTGACTCTTAAAAAAACAGTAAAAACGGTGAGAAACGCTGGCAGCGAATGAGTTAAGAGAGATAGCCTGATGCTTACCAGCTCTAGGGTTGGCCAGGCCTCTGTGACTTGGGTTTGTTGGCGTGCTGTGATAGAAGGATGCCAGGTCACTCTGTGTGCAGGAATGCAGAAGGTTCATCATACTCCACTCAGACTCCAAATCTCTCTGAACGGTCGATGGACTTTTAATTTGACAAAGGGCTTCAGATGCAGTGGATGAACCCAAGCCTTGAGAGGTGGGTTGCACACTTCTCCCAGTAACAGGCAGTGTTTTGGGCCCATCACCCGGACTTCCTCTAAACCCAGACTTTTCTCCGGTTTCAGCCAACCTGCTGGTGGAAAACTTCGGCCTCTTGCCAGAAGGTTCACCAAAACGCATTTGCGGGAAACTCCCAAATTGGCTCGAGAGGCAGAGCCGAGCAGCGTCCGAGTGCCAACCAGACCCACTTCTTCCTGGGTAACTCCTCTCAATGATCCCCAGAGGACAGGTCCTGTCCATGACAAACTTGCCGCCTGCGGTGGTTGTTCTCATGAGTTCCGTGTGCCTGGAGACTTCCTGGCTTGGATGAGAATCCGAAGTCTGTCTGAAATGCTCCTGAACACCATCTTGTAGCGGAGCATGGATGGGTGAAAGTTTTGGACCGTTGGACGGGTTACCAGATTTGTTTTCTTGAGGTTTTGTGGGTCGTGGAGGCGGAGATTTTGTCCGGCGAGGGTGCCGCCGGTCAAGCATCAGTAGAGGTGTGACATCATTTCCGTTGAGCACTGGGGGACAGCCTGTGTAGCGCTTCTGTTTGGCATTGCCTCCAAGTCCATTATTTTTGGTACCTTCTGACTTGTGTTCATGTGTCAGCTTTTTGTGCATGATCAGAACCTCTGGGTACAAGGTCTTAAAGGCACAGAGTGCACATGACACCAGATTTAAAGCATTTCTGGTTTCTGCATTGGTAGGATGGGAGAGAGACCCTTTTAAGGACAAATTCAAGGGGACATCAGAGTCCTGTTCATTTTCTTGCTTTAGGTTTGCAGACACTGGAAGCACCTCATTGTCTTCAGCGTTCACCTGAACCAGTGTCTCACTAAACTGGGTACCTGAGCTGTTGTGCGGGTCCTCAGGTGACTTGTTCATGCACAGTCTCTCTTCAGAAGCCCAGAGTTTGGATCTGTTTGGGGCCGGGCTGTCCCCAGGAGAGGGCAGTGAAGGTCCAGGTCTGCTGCACCCCCCCGCATACGGTTTGTCTTTGTGGCGCCGCTCCAGGTGATATTTCAGAGAAGTCTTCTGGGCTGCTGCGTAATCACAGTAAGCACACTTGAAAGGCTTCTCACCTAAAAAAATAAAATAAACTCTTTTAGATATGTTTAACGAAACTGATCAAGTATGTAAGAGTGGAGTCAAGAAGCGAAGGACACGGCACCTGTGTGAGTCCTCATATGAACTGTGAGGTAGTAGCTTGATCGGAATGATTTACCACAACAGCTGCACGCTTTGGATCGGACTTTGGATCGATCAAAACCATCTTCACCTTAAAAAATAGAAACACAGGAACAGGAAACGTGACTTTGTGTGCGCCACCTTGTCAGTGTGAGAGAACTCTACACGATTTACCTGAAATAAAGTTTTCATCGGTTGTCTCCTCGTGTGCTTCCTCTGCTGGATCCAGTGAATCTACTCTTGGCATCTTTGCGTCAACAGAAGATGCTGGACTCTCTCCACTCCCTCGGTCACGCTTGTGAACTCTAGAGTGGAGAACTAACTGATGGTAGGTCCTAAACGTCCTCCGACATTGCTCACAAGTGGTTGGTCGGTCTTTGGCCTTGCGCTTTTGCATCAGTGATCTCCTTGGTGGGTGTGGATTCTCAACCTGCTGCTGAGACTGGAGCTCTCTCACGCACACCTCCTTCCCAGCTTTGTCTTCTTGATCCTCGGTCCACATGAGACCCAACTCCTCCTTATCAGAAGGGCAGTCCTCGTTGTCCGTGCTCATCTCTTGGCCAACATCTTTAGTACTATTAAGACCGACTGCTATTTTGCCCTTTGTAGCAAGCTGCCAGGCCTGGTAGGTGTTAAAGGGGTCCAGCTGTGGGATCCATTTAGATGATCTCATGTTTCCCAGAGCGTTGCCTGTAGAGGCAGGCTGGAGGTTTAGGTTGCATAGAAACGTTTCCTTGTCAACACAAGATTCAGTAGCACCATCTTTCTGATCTACAGCTTCATCTTTCTCCGTCTCCATCTCTCGATTGTGGACTTTACTGTGTTCAGCCAAACTGCCATGATCTGGGAAAAAAAATCCACAAACCATGCACATTTTGTAAACGGCGACGACGGGTTCTGGGGCAGATTCCTGAGCAACTCCATTGATGGTGAAAGGAGCTTCCAGGTCCTGCAGAGCCCTGCTCTTTGGTCCTGGTTTTATGTGCATCTTCATGTGATTCTTAAGAAACCAGGTCTCTCTGAACCGCCGTCCGCAGACGTTGCAGCAGTATGTAAAGTAGTCCTTGTGCTTCCTCATGTGGGTCTCCAGCTCACCAGCATCCTGAGCCACCTGACCGCACACAATGCAGCTGTGCGCCTCCTCTCCTCCAACAAGGACACCGCCCAGCTTGGGCTGAGGCCTCTCCCCGGGGATCCTGAACTCGGCCTCGACCCGAAGCACCGTGGGTTCAGAGAACGTAGCGGGGTGCTGTGTTAGAACGTGAGGGCCTAGCTCATCTTGATGAGTGAAAGTCTGGTCACAGAACATACAGGACAGCGGGTCACTCTGTCCAGACTGAAACACGACCTTTTCGACATACGTGTGCGGCATCATGCTGAAACCGGACCCTGGGACGTTGGCGTCATTGCTACTGAGGATGCCTTGAGCTATTCCATCTGGGCTATCCACAAACGGCAGCAACGAGTGAATAGGCATCTTCATCGGAGGTTTTCTACCCTACCTAGACCAGAACCTGCAAAAAATAAAATAACACGGTATGAGTGCATTTAGGTTTTGCTCAACATTGAAACAAGATGGACCAACTATTAAACCTTCACGACGTAAAATCAGTTGAACCAACACCAGAGAGAAGTGCCCTTTCTTGTACTGAAACAGGAAATGTATCGTTTTTAGCAATCAACTACACCGACTACTCATTTCCTCTAAGAGCAGGCCACTGATACAACTCAAGGTCTTCTCCATACCTCCTACCACGTACAGTTTAACACACACTGGCTCCACATATTCTGTGGTTGACTACAGCCCGACTTGCCTCTTTAAAATAAAAGTACAAATACAACGTGGGTTCTCAAAGTAACTTCAACTAATATCAAAGAAAAGTATTTTGTAAGTGAAGTGTGTCACTCAGAAATTCAGTTAAACAGAAACATTATTAATACTAATATCAGCATCTTCTGGTCTTGGTGTGTTACCCGTTAAGGGTTAGATCACTAGGATAATGATGGGCTCATAGCCTTACTCTGGAGCGGGTTGCCAGGTCAGGGTTTTGGTTTAACTTGTGCACCTTAACAGATTTTTATAAGGTTGAAATATTATCTGAAACATCATTAAAATGTCTTCAGACTAAATGTGGTTGCACAAAAGCCAGGCTTCTGACCAGTGGGGTTCTTGCACCTTTGACAAAGTTGCATGTTTGGTTATCCTTACGCTTAGGACCAGTCACCCTTCTCACTTTTGGACTAAACCAATCATACAAACTATTTTCTTATTTGTCTTGTAAAAAGAAAAGTTGATGATGTACGATAGATTGTAAATTGTGTCCATATTTGCAGTGTTTAAAAAAAAACCCAGAAAAATCAGTTCTCCAGTGCAGTTTATCCAAATACAATCTTGCACTAAAAGTTGTGCTGATCCCATTATTTATAGCAGATTACTTTAATGTTGTCAAAAGGCAAGGAGATTAACTGCTCTGTTTGTCTCTTTGCTATCAGTATAATCTCTGTACATCACATTTTTATGCTCTCAATTCTAATAATGTTTTAAAGATGTGAACAATGCCTGATTTTAAAGCTGAAGTCTGAAATATGTTAAGAAATGTTAATTTTCCTGATTTTCCAGTAACCTGTGGGAGAGAAGGTTTCACTAATAGAGTATGTGGCCGACAAGACGCTAGCGGCAGAGTAAAGCGCGTTTTAGGGAAACCTTGTGCCACTTTAGCTCGTTCTAGCACCGCAACAACTAAATAAAACACACTGAACAGCAAACACTTATTTCAATAAAAACAAAACCACTGAAGTTTGTGTGATTTTTGCTGAAAGAGCCACCGGTCTGCAGGCCTCTGGACTAGCCAGTAGCTCACCAGCCCTGTCATGACTCTGTTTCTCCAAACTGAGGTTGTTTACAGAACTATTTACAATAGATAAGACAGGAATTGTTCCTCTTGCAGAAATCCACTTCAAAAGACATGAGCTGTCCCTTTAAGGTGGCTTTCAGGCAACTGTTGATAACAATGAGGACCTTGAGTATTCTATATTTATTTTTCCTACTAAAGGGCAGATGCATGCTTTCAGGCACGAATGAGTCAAAGTAAGTGACTCAGAGTGGGAGTTGACTTCACTAAAGTTTAATTCAGCTATTACACTTCTATATGTGTATTATAAGTCGAGCACGAGGACGTCTTTCACTTTTTTACGCCGCGCAGATCAACATATGAGCCGCTGCTCTTGGCCAAATTGTTTTCTTTACATAAAAAAAGCGGAATTCAGCCAAAATAAGAGACACGACGCCAACGCTGGGTTTCGCGTGAACATAAATGTGCAAAACACCACCACCCGTGTTGCTTTACTCGGAAAACGAGCCTAGAAATTAACTGAGGGGTCACCGCAAACGCCACAGGTTACCGCTGAGGAGGCTATGAAAGTCAGTCCACTCACCAAGCAGAAACTCACCAAACAATACCCACCAAGTCTGAGTTTCCGGATTATTAATGATAGTCGGAGCGACTTGGTGCACGCGAGCGAGCCACGCTGTGTGTGTGTGAGTGTGAGTGTGTGTTTGTGTCGCCTCTCCTTTATCCCACACTACAGCGGACGGACGGCTCACCTAATCAGTTATTTGAATGTGATTCATTATTAGTTCGCTTCGGAGAGTCCACCTCCTCGCTCCCGTCCCTCCGCAGCTGTTGGAAGTCTCACGCGCGTTCGCTCGACCGACTCTCTCGAGGTGAAAGATGGAGCGCGTGCACGACGCCCCCAACTTAAAAAAAAAACGCCAATGAGAAATCACGTGATCGCGGATGACAGAAAATGATTAGCACATCTTGTGCGTAATAATCCTGTTTACGCACAGGACGAGCGGGTTTACCTGCTTGGCACGTTTTAATATTTAGGACCAGCGCTATAACCAGAGCGGGTAAGATGGTTTTAGATGTTTAATCCTCGCCGTGCGTTCAACACGCCCAATAACAGCTCCCATTTGTTTACAGTCAGGTCTATTTTTACGTGTTTGGCTCATTTTTAGCGCCCTGCCCTTGCACTAAAGTGTCCGCGGAAAGCGTTTGAACAACACAGAGTGCTTTGGCGAGCTGACACGACATTGTTTTGGTGTAGTGCTGCCGTGAAGCTCACCTAAACTGTAGTCCTTCCACGTTTCTCACGTTATGCAGCAGATAGCATGTGGAAGTGGGGGAGGGGAGCCTCAATCCTTTTTTTTACATGAGGTTTCTTTTTTCATATTGTCCTCGTTTGTTTTGTTCAGGCTCTTCCTGCTCCCAATTACTCAAAACAGGCCTACCATTTATTAGGCACTCTTCAGTGGGCCATATATGAAATTATTTATTACTATTGTTATATGTAAAATCATAAACTTATAAGAACGCATTCCTTTAGCAACACCACTGATGTTTGAGATAAATATGTACACCAGTTTAAAATAACCCCCTCCTCCGTTTCTTACAGTTTCCAAACAGTAGTTAAACTCCAGATCTTCCATTCAATAAAGACATTTACTTACTCACACACCCTCCCCCAAGTAGCAGCAACTTCTGGGAAGACATGAAAAACTTTATCTGTAACCACTCCCAGTGGAACAAAGACTCCATTTGGCCAAACTATCTCCAGCTTTCGTCAAGGACTGTGGCCTTAAACTCTCTGCTGCTCTGCCTGTTTCCAGTCCCTGCTGCCACCCAACAGGATGGACCAAAGCTGTGTTAAACTGACATGAAAACACAAGTAGATGTGCAGGTCCATAGGACATGATCAGGATGCGTCTTTTAGAGTCATGTGTCATTAGGCTTCAAAATTCCTCATTTAATCTCTACAGTCATCACATTGTGAGTTTGAAACAGACATTGTCCCAAGTATTGGAAGACAAGCTCTGCCCTAAATAAAAACACCACTCTACCCCTCTATGAGACATATGATTCACTTTTAGGTGTTTTTGCCTCTACATCCTGTTACACAAACAAGTCTAGTATGTTAATCAAAGGCTCCACTTGTGACACGTCGAAGCCTCCTGCTTATTAGGCCTGAGCAGCGAAAGCGCTGCGAAGGCCTCTTGTTTTTCCTCCGTTTATTATTTATTATTCTTAGCCTGCTTTGAATGGCTTTTTGGGGGCCTTATCATACCCCAAAACTCACAATATTTTGCAACTTTGTCAGGCCTGGTGCAAAATTTGATATTTTAAAGGTCCCAAAAAAAATCTCAAAGAAATTGGCTGAATAGCGCCCCCTACTATGTGAAAAATACCCCCTCCAGAAACCTTAGTTTATTGTACAGTTATGAAATTTTGTACACTTGTAGTACTTAACAGTCAGCACAGAAAAGCCTCTTGCAACCATGGCCAACATCAAACAGGAAGTCGGCCATTTTGGGTTAAAATGGCGATTTGTACACATTTTGGCCGTTTTTAGGGTCCGCTTCTGATTGATTTACTCGATCAATTTTTGCATGATCGTCTCAAAAATTGTGGGAAATTGCTCAGAAGGGATGGGCGGTCAAATAGAAAAAACTAAAACTGACTTTTCTTATATGTTGAGGGGGCGGGGCCAGGTCTCGATGTTCGACTACCCTAACAAAAAATATATAAATGGCTATAATTTCATAAATGAAAGAATTACAGTTAAAAAAAATTGTGGACATTCCTCATCAGCCCCCGAAGAAAAAAAGAATGGTCGATTGATGATGTCACACAAGCCCCGCCCCCTCTGGACTAAAAAGGTCAAGTTTTACTGTGAAATTTCCCAAAATTCACCATTTCGTATAATCACCACAAACTTGTAGCAGATAACTGAAGACAAGTTGGGGTTGCTGGGCCTCACTTTACGGGAGCTTTCAAAAGACAGCGCGGCTGTGTTGGCACGGCGAAGTCAGGCGTAACGCCATGGCCATGCGATTGCCTCTCAGTCAATTCTAAAGCGATCGCCACGAAATTTCTGATGCGTGATCCTAGTATGATCCACAATAAAACTTGAGATCAAAAGTTGGTAGGCGTGGCCAATTTATTGAAATAGCGCCTCCTAGCACCCTTAAAAGTGCCAGCCCCAAGACATGCTTTGACTGAGCATTATGAAATTTTGTACACTTATGTAGTGTCTCAGGACGTACAAAAAACTCTCTTGAAGTCATGCTCAATATCCCACAGGAAGTCGGCCATTTTGGTCCAAGTACACCATTTTGTGTTTTTTGCACACTTCAAAGGTACGTCAATCCCCAAGCGCCCTTTGCCCCCATCCCCTTCTTGCTTTTGCTGAAAACTCTCAAGACAAAGCGGGAACAACTGAACCTACGGATTTTCCAAAATTCGTTAACGGCGTGGGCGTGGCTACGCCTCAAGCATTGACCTGTCACCACACCATGCTTATACTTTCAGAGCTCGCTATTGGACTCCTTTCATCTATTCAACAGTAATCTCTGCCAAATAGCAATACACAACTTGAGGTCACTTGGTCTCCAGTACTGGCAGGTTTCAAAAAAGGCAGGGCCCTGGGAGCATGGCGAAATTCGCCATCACCCAATGGAAATACGTTTGCTTCTCATTTCCCCAGTTCTCATATCACCAAAAGATTTCTGGTGAGTGATCCTAGTCTGACCCCCAATATAAATAGATGTCATAAGTTGGTTGGCGTGGCCTTTTTTCTGAAATAGCGCCCCCTATGACCATTAAAACTCTCAGCCCCAAGTCATGGTTTGACTGAGGATTGTGAAATTTTGCACACTTATGCAGTGTGCCTAGGCCTACAAAGAGTTCTCATGGAGCCATGCTCCATATCCCACAGGAAGTCGGTCATTTTGTTCCAATTACGTTACCGAGTCTCTTTCGAAGCTGGGATATTTTACTAATGTAAAACATTTTTAGTGAGGACTGTTGGCAGACTAGGAGGAAAGGTTGAGTCAGATTGAGGTGACAGATCACAGTGATAGCAGTTAAATGCACGCTGGGGTGTCTGGCGCGCATAGGCGCTCATGCGCCACCGGTCGCAGGGCTATGGGTTGGGAGAGCGTCGGGGATGGAGTGGAGGGGGTGCGGACGGAGGGCGAGCAGCTTCGCTGCGAGAGCCGAATGACGCTGCTTGCAGCTTTAATTTTCTATTGTTCTCTGACCACAAAGCTCGTGTCGAAGCTATCAATCTAGAGCGGTGGTGCGATTCCTCAGAATGATCAAACTACTGACATGTTTCAGCTTATTATAGAAAAAAGACATCAGAGTGTAAAGTGTTGCTTCTTTATCAGAGGGTTATTTATGTTTTAATTATGTTTATGTTTATGTATTTAGCAGACGCTTTTGTCCAAAGCAACTTACAAGTGATATTCGGCATGTTGCCCTTGAGGCTAACAACAACAATAACAACAACTTGACATCAATCATGGAGAGGAGGGAACAAGGAGTGGACAGTAGAGAGGGGGGACGGGTGCAGGGAGGGTGCTAGTTTAGAAGACGCTCTCTGAAGAGCAGGGTCTTCAGGAGTTTCTTGAAAATTTAAAAGGAAGCTCCAGTTCTGGTAGTGCTTGGTAGGTCATTCCACATTTGTGGAACGATGCATGAGAAGAGTCTGGATTGTCCTGAGCGTGGTGTAGGCACTGCTAGCCGACGATCCTGCGATGACCGGAGCGGCCGGGCAGAGACGTAAGCCTTTGCAAGAGGATTTAGGTAGATGGGAGCCGTACCATCTCGGACTTTGTATGCTATAGGGCTGCAACGATTCCTCGAGTAACTCGAATGATTCGAGGACAAGAAATATTCGAGGATTTTCCGCTGCCTCGAGGACTCGTTAAATAGACCATAGCTGAAAAAGACCGGCGTGTCGCACGGATTCTTTATGTGTTGCACAACGCGGTTACGTCACAGATTATATGTGCCATGCACTCTACTGCACAGCGCGCAGCGGTCTTGTCGTCTTTTCAGCTGGACAGCCGACAATGGCAGACGCCACGGAAATAAATGAAAACAAGCAAGACCAAAACGAGGGATATAGGAAGCGACAGAAGCTATCCAAGGTGTGGGATCACTTTACGTTAAAAAGCAAGGAAAACGTCGCCGTATGCAAGCATTGCAAGGTGGAGCTAGCATACCACAACATCACTTCTTCCATGCTGCAGCACCTCTTAAGAAAGCATCCGACTGAGGGCTTGAGTGGACGTGCCGAGACCAGGTAAATAAACTTTTATTTCAGGACGTAAATGTTGACTCAAATGTAGTCCAGGGGCGACGGTGGCACAGGAGTTAAGTGCTCGCCTCGTAATCGGAAGGTTGCTGGTTCGAGTCCCGCTCAGTCTGTCACTGTCGTGTCCTTGGGCAAGACACTTAACCCACGTTGCCTGCTGGTGGTGGTCAGAGGGACCGGTGGCGCCAGTGCTCGGCAGCCTCGCCTCTGTCAGTGCGCCCCAGGGCAGCTGTGGCTACATCGTAGCTCATCCCCACCAGCATGTGTGTGTGAATGGGTGAATAAGTGATTGTGTTGTAAAGCGCCTTGGGGGGTTCCAGGACTCTGGAAGGCGCTATATCAAATACAGGCCATTTACCATTTTAGTGTCAATAAAATAAATTTATTTGTTATAAGTTTGTTTTAAATTGCTGCTTTAAAATATATCTGTTAAAATGTATATTTTAAAAATTGGTTTACAACAACAACAAAAAAACCTTTGTTTGAATGATTTCCTTCTCTTCCTTAAAATTATCCCCAAATTCCAGTTAATTTTCATGAATTCCCCTATTTCTTGTGCACAGTTCCTAATTTTAAATATTTCCAAAATTCCCCAGCTTAGCCTTCCATGGAAATGTACCAAACCCTAATTACAATTTAGGAATGTTTGACTTCACTTTATTTATGTTTTGCCTTTTTTTTTCCAGTGAAGCAGTGAAACATCACAACCCGTCCTGGATAGATTTCTGCTGAAAGCACCTGCCTGCACCCCAGCACAAGCAGCCGTACTGACAGACCGCATTCTAAATATGCTGGTTACAGACATGCGCCCGCTGAGCATGGTGGAGGATGCAGGCTTCAAAGCGATGATTGCTGCTTTCCAGCCAAATTATGCTCTTCCATCTCGGACCTTCTTCACAAAGCGGTTGGAAGAAAAATATGAAGACCTCAAAAACAAGATGAAGAAAGCCCTGCAAGAGACTGACACCATAGCACTTACTGCTGATATCTGGATAAATGTGGCAACAGAGGCCTACATGGGGGTAACGTGCCACTACCTAGAAAACTGGAAAATTGTGTCTCATTGTCTCACCACTATGCCTTTGGAGGAGAGGCATACAGCTGCAAACATTGCAGATTGGATTGAGGAGGTAATTGCCAAATTCAGCATTCCACCAGAGAAAATCAAGGCTGTTGTACATGACAATGGTGCTAAAGTCATGCAACAAAGATTTTGCATGCAAAGCATGGATGGGAGCCAGTGACATGTGCAGGACACACCCTCAACTTGGTTGTGCAAAACACTTTAAAAAGCCAACGGGCTATCTCCAGGTGTGTGGGTGCAGCGAGAACTCCTGTCGAACATTTTAAGAAAAGTGAATTGGCAAGCACAAAGTTAAAGGTCAAGCAGAGGCACATGGGGACCAAAGAAAACATGCTGTTGCAGGATGTCTGCACACGCTGGAACAGCACCTATGCCATGTTGTCAAGGCTGCAAGAACAAAGATGACCAGTGACTGCTACATTGTCTGACCCAGAAGTGACCCAAAGAGGGAAACATTACCCGGATCTCAAACCTGACCAGTGGAGCCTGATTGAGGAGCTCAACCAGGTCCTTGAGCCCTTCCACTCTGCCACAGTTTTTATGAGTGGAGAGCAATATGTTACGCTTTCTGCACTTCCACATGTTGACAAAATTAAGAAATCACTCCAGAGTCAGAATCTCGAGTCACCACCTGTGGTGTCATTCCAGACTCATGCAAAAGAACAGGTCACAACAAGATGGAAAGACTTGGGTGAGTTCAAACCTGAGTCTCCAAACATCACACTGCTTGCTGCTTTTCTGGATCCCAGGTTTCGAAAACTCAAATTCTTACCTGCTGGCCAAGCATTAGGAGTCAAAAACGCATTGCAAACCATGGCACTTGCTGTCAAGCAGCAACTGAGACCTACTGGATGCAGAAATGAAGCATCCAGCACAGCAGAGGGTGCTCCATCTGCAGCACATAAAGACAAGATGACCACATCCGTCCTTGACTCTGACTCCACCAGCAGTGATGAAGAGCAGTGATGAAGAACAGCTGTCAAATGAAGCTATACAGAATGAGGTAAACATAAATAATGCTTTGTTTTTTCACCCCTTTTATTTTGGTAACAACTTCCTATAAGGCAGTTCAAATGTTCTACTAGAACAGAAAATGAATATTTTATAATGTTGAATAAGCCAAACACATTTTTAGATTTTGTGTGTTTGTTCTTTTTTCCATCAACTGTCACAGGTCTTGGCATATTTCAGAGAACAGTCCCTTCCAAAGACGGATGATCCTCTGATCTGGTGGAAAGCTAATGAACAACGCTTTCCAACATTGGCGAAGCTGGCAAACCCCCTGCTCTGCATTCCAGCTACATCCACCCCATCCGAGCGGTTGTTTTCCGCAGCAGGTAATATTGTGTCAAAGAAGAGGGCAAGCCTCAGCCCTGAGCATGTAGATGTGCTCACCTTCCTTCACTGCACAACCACAGACTCCTTGGATGGATTGTAGTTCCACTCCCCAGGCAGTCTCTTTAAAATCCTTGTTTACAGTAGCAGGACTTCTGGTGGTCCCCCGGTCGAAGTTTCGATCGAGGGGTAGTCGTGCTTTTTCTATTTTGGCTCCAACTCTGTGGAACGAATTGCCACTGAGCATTAGACAGGCTCCATCCCTTCAAGTTTTTAAGTCTCGTTTAAAGACTCATTTTTATCTGATTGCATTTCAGCGCTAGGGTCACTTGAATTGCCCTAACATTATGGTTTTAACTATTCTTCTTTTTATACCGGATGCTTGATTTTATTTTGTCCGACATTTGTTTTTTTAATCGATTGGTCTTATTCCAATATCTCTTATCTGCAATGCTGTTTGCTTGCTATTTTATGATTTTATGTTTTTATCGTGCTTTTATGCCCATGTATTGAGAATGTTTTTCTTTTAATGATGTTGTTCAGCACCTTGGGCTTCGGATAATGTTGTAGAAGGTGCTATACAAACAAAATTTGATTGATTGATTGATTGTGTGCCAAGTTACTGTCTTACATGTCAGTTCTGAATATAAAGCTGCACATTTGAAGGACAGTGTTAACGGCACAATTTATTGCACATTCTTTTTGATACTAACCCCGGCTTTCCACCGGAGCCGTCAGCAGCACGTCATAGCTGCTGATAGGAACCGCTGTGGTCAACAGAACCTTTTCCACCGGAGCCGTCAGCAGCGCGAGTCGGCCGCGTCTCAGGAGCAGCATGTCGCGGCCTTTACGCGCCGGTTCTATTTTCTACGCGCGACGCCTCTGAAACGGGTCAAGTTCAACATTTTTGGGGAAGGAAAGACAGGAAATCAGATGCGGAAATGGAGAGAAGCTCCCGAGATTTTCAGAATAAAGAACGTACTGCCTTCCGGTTGCTTTACTTTAAAAAAGGTTACTAACTGTGCGGCCCCGTGAGAAGTTATCACCTAGCTAGCGGTCTCCTTTGTTTTTCAGGTCCGTATTGGCGATTATAAAACGGACAGAACATAAAACACAAACCATGTTGTAGTTTTCTCCTGCTTGTTGTTGTGTTTACTGACGAAGTCACTCGTGTGACTTCGTGCTCTGTCGGTGACAGCTGCTCCCCTGCTGCTTCGCGTCTCGTGGAAAGGGCCAAGCAGCAGCTTACGCGAGCAAGACGTGCTGCTGCAGTAACGTGCTGCTGACGGCTCCTGTGGAAACCCGGGGTTAGGGTGATAACTGCTTTTTAGTAATTCAAAGAATATTTTTATATTTTTATGTAACTGTCTCAGGGAATGTTAGGTTTAAAGTAATATTATTTATATTTGTGTTTTCATCTCAAATGTTAAGGTGGAAGTAATTTTAGTTCTCTGATTTTTCTAAAGAAACAATTACTATTTTCCATCATACAAACACATTAATAAAATGTCATTTATACATAACATTTAAATTTGTTGTTTTCATTATTAAGTCTGTCTTTTTTTATATTGTATATTTATAATTGAACCTTAATTTTGCAGAAGTATGTTTTATTCGATTACTCGATTAATCGATCGGGATATTCGATAGAATACTCGATTACTAAAATATTCGATAGCTGCAGCCCTAGTGTGCTATTGTTAGCAATTTGAATTTGATGCGTGCTGCTAGCGGTAGCCAGTGGAGCTCAATGAACAGAGGGGTGACGTGTGCTCTTTTTGGCTGATTGAAGACCAGACGCGCCACTGCGTTCTGGACCGTTTGAAAAGGTCTCACAGTACAGCCTGGAAGACCAGTTAGAAGGGCGTTGCAGTAATCGAGGCGAGAGATGACAGTAGATTGCACCAAGAGCTGGGTGGCATGTTGTGTTAGGTATGGTCTGATCTTTCCTATGTTATACAGCGCAAAGCGGCATGAACGAGCAATAGAGGCAACATTATCTTTAATTAGCATGTAATTAGCATGTAATTATCATGTAAGTAGCATGTATGTTCTGCTGGGGTAATGATATCAGCAAGTGATTACCTTAAAGTGATTTAAGTGTCTGTTCTTCTGATTAACATGTGAATGTTGGTTGACTTATCCCTCTGTCTCTCTCTCTGTAAACACACACACACACACACACACACACACACACACACACACACACACACACACACACACACACACACACACACACACACACTCACTCAGGGAAATAAAGTGTAATTATTTGAGATACACTTTAGTAGTATTGAATGAATGATTATGCATTCAGTGGACACACGCCCTGTTAGGACGGATCACAAATGGGGGGCAGGCTGTGGTGGCTTGTTTTTGTCTTTGTGTCAGCAGCAGCTGACTGCATTGTTCTCCAGATTCTCAGTCTGGTGTATTTCATTATTCTGGAGCCTCCTCTGAAGGACACTGATAGCATGTCATCTCCATTCTCACCTCCAGCCCAGTGATGTTTATTCAGAGCTAAACCGGTGCTATTAGGAGGCAACAAAACAATGACTCGATGTCTATTTTCAAAGTGGTTTGGATGGGTAAAAACTATACACTCTTTAAACATCGTTGGTATGTTCTTACTGTGTCTAGTTTCTAATTCCATTTTTGGTCCTTTTTTAAAACACAGGAAAGGTTTCTCTTTACCTTGCTGACAGTTTTGTTTGCCGACTGCAAAACATCCTCAGAGCTGATGGTGGCGTCACTTCCTACTCCATTTATCCGCGGGCAGCAGAGGACGTTGTCGCCCTCTGCTGCCCGCGGATAAACGGAGTAAGCTGACTGCATTGTTCTCCAGATTCTCAGTCTGGTTTATTTCATAATTCTGGAGCCTCCTCTGAAGGACACTGATAGCATGTCATCTCCGTTCTCACCTCCAGCCCAGTGATGTTTATTCAGAGCTAAAGTGGTGCTATTAGGAGGCAACAAAACAATGACTCGATGTCTATTTTCAAAGTTCACGTTTTGAATATTTCCTCTTCTCTGCAGAGAAATGAATTAAATAGGGTGTCTTTGTTCTGCATCAGGAGTCCTTCTGTCTCTTTTGAAGTTTTGACTTTTTGCAGCTTTTCATTGTGCCACTGTGGCCTCTTTTGTGACACGCTGAAGTGGAAGTTACACGCACAAAACAATACAAGGCAGATTGAGCAGAAGGCAGAATTAGCTTCAGATTGGATAAAGTTAAAGGGAAAAAGTTGATGGAGTAATTAAAGTTAATCCATATCCAATTATATTGTTTCTTTTAACCATTGTGTTTGGATATAAATTAAATGTTTCAGTCTCTTTATCACCCTCTGCTAAATAATTATAATAATCATCATCAAACTTATTTAGCGCTTGTTTAGGACACTCAAAGACGCTTTCACGCACTCTCACATTCACACACTGCTAGTGATGGTAAGCTACTGCGTAGCCACAGCCGCCCTGGGGCGGTTTGACAGAGGCGAGGCTGCCATTTGGCGCCGTCGGCCCCTCTGAAAACCACCAAGACAGGCAAGTTGGGTGAAGTGCCTTTCCCAAGGACACAACAGCAAAAAAACCCTGGCGGGAGCTGGAATCGATCCCATGACCCTCTGATCATGAGGCAACCCGCTCTACCTCCTGAGCTACTGCTGCCTCAGTTGAAGGTTGAATGTAAACTATAAAGCTTTTATCCGTTTAGTCTGTTAGTACAAAACCTCAAGAACTACTGAGGTTTTATTGAAAATTCATATAATCATCTCAACATTTTAGGATTAACTTAAATCACGATAGCCACCACAAAAATAGACTATAACTAACTATAACCAGTTAATTTTACATAACTTATACAATAATATATGTATGTATATATTATTGGTCTGAGCGGTTAAGAAATTGCTTCAGCATGGAAATGGCTCTACGTTGAAAAAGCTTGTCCTGACTATTGTGTTGATCTGCTTATCTAAGTTAAAGGGGCATATATATATATATATATATATATATATATATATATATATATATATATATATATATATATATAATGGAAAATCCACCTATTGGAGCTTTTTCCCACAGCGGACTCACAGATCTTTGGCCGTGGCGGACCAGAGAAGCCCGATATCCTTGGTCAGCATACCTAGTTATGATTTCGTTACTAAGAAAGCCGGAGGTGCCTTCACTTCAGAGTCACTCTACCTTGTTTTTCTTGCTAAGAATACCTGGAAAAACTCAAGTTAGCTTTGGGTTAGTATGTAGCTAATGATCCGCTGATGTCAAAGGCCACGGCGCCCGGCTAAAATTGCTTTCGTAAAGACAGAGTCAGCCCGATAGGCCGCTTCGAGGCCCTGAATACTCTTGAAAGTGAACGCAATGATTTTGAATTGTATTTGGAAAGATACCAGGAGCTAGTGTAGTTCTGAAAGAATGGGAGTAATATGGCTCACCTAAAAGTGTGAGGAGATGGGCTGCAGAGTTTTGAACTAGTTGAAGACGAGCTATGGAGGACATATGGGTTATTACAGTAGTCGAGGCATGAAATAATGAAAGCATGAAAGACTTTCTCCAGGTCTGAGCGGTTAAGAAATTGCTTCAGCATGGAAATGGCTCTACGTTGAAAAAAGCTTGTCCTGACTATTGTGTTGATCTGCTTATCTAAGTTAAAGGGGCATTATGGAAGTTTGACAGCCAAAACATGTATAGAAATAATAAATTTCATATATATATATATTGTAAAAAGAATTGGTCCAAGCACCAGAGGTGGGAAGTAACAAACTACATTTACTTGTGTTACTGTAATTGAGTAGATTTTTTGCGCATTTATACTTTTTAAGTAGTTTTTAAAATCTGTAATTTTACTTTTACTTAAGTATTGTTTTTTGTAAGTATTGTACTTCGCTACATTTTTTATCTTATCCGTTACCGAGTAAAAAAAAACAACATTGCAAAATACTGTGTCGGCACGGTTCGCATTGGATTCAGACACAACCACAGAGAAGAGAGACGAGAGTATAAACATATACATATGTAGCAGCGTCTTAACGCGCTCGAGAGTCATCCAGCGCTTAATGAAGTGTCTATGTATATATGTCTATACTGGTAAGACCCAAACACGGCAGTGCTGCGGACGCTGAAGGCACGCACCAGAAGAACTGAGTGCTTAAGTTACGAGAGTGTTACGGGGTACCAGCGTTGCCAGATGCACGATAATTATCGTATTTGTACCATAATTTTGGGCTCTATACGATGTACGATCAATAGTTTCAAAAATCCTCAAATGTACGATAATTTCACATTGCATCTAGTAACACAGCTTTGTGGCTTTTTAGCCGAGCACAACATTGCAATGAGAAGCACAGACCACTTAGTACAGGTGATTAAAGGCATTCTGCTGCAACATACAGTGAATCAGATGAGGATATCGAGATCAGCAACTAGGTGAGTAGACTGCTTTGTCATTTATTGGGTCAATTTTTCCACTGCTGTGATGTTTTGTCGCGTGCTTTTAACCTATGTAGAAATGAAATGAATAGGATTGCGCAAATGTGTATATTGTGTCATTGCGTGGAGGTCGGAGTGGTGCCGACACACTCTGCACGTTTATAGGCATTATATTACTGGTTTTAAAGATGTTTATTTAAACAGGGCAATAAAAAACACCTTCTTTGTTATATTATATTGGAGTGAGAAGTCGTTTATAGAACGTTATTATCAAATTTATAATGTACGATAATTTGTACTGAAAAACGATAATTTAAGCCTCTCTGTACGATATTGTGGGATTTTGGATCTGGCAACACTGCGGGGTACGAAGGAAAGGATAAGAAACACTAACTGACTATTCGGATGACTGGAGGATCACTTAAGAAGATCAAAGCTTGTGAGAAGGATTAATGAAGGGATGTCTGAGCGGTCAACAGGTGAGTTGAACTTCTTAGTGTGAAGCATGTGTTCAGTGACCTTACAGTGCAATGAATGGTGGGTAGGAGAAGAAAATAGGCGCTAATGGTACGAGAAAGACAGCCTGGCCTGCCAGACCCCTCCTGTTTAATTCACGTCATACACGTCGATGCTCAATTTCTCATAAACAACGAAGACAGCGGTGGAGTTCGCTGCGGCTCTTTCCTCTGTTCTAAATGACACAGATGTCTTTAAAACCACAAGTAGAAGCGCTAAAAGCATTTCTTCTAAATAATAAAAGATGTTTGCGCCATTGTCAGTTGCTATTTTTTTTTTACTACAACTAGAAATCTACCGTGTCGTGTGGTACAGTCGGGATTTCCTTTTTTTCTGATTGGTCATTTTTGAGCTTCCTAGTCCCGCCCCTCAAGTGATCTTCCAGCTAAAAGAAAAACTCTGCAGACTGGAGACTGTCTCCAAGATGTGTCTGCCACTCTTCAGAGCCATTCAGGATGGTGTCCAAAAGCACTTTGGTGAGATGATGGAAGACGCTGCTGCAATCCTTCTTCCAAAGTTCAAGACCACCTGGACTGAGAGGCACGATATCATTGAAGCAGGTAATTTTTAATAATTTAATATCATACCTTAATCTGTTTCTTATTCATTTCAATCCTGTCAACATACTTAAAGTTCAATTATACGAGTCTGTCGACACAAATTATAGTATTTGTAAGGCATGTATTGCTAAAAACAATTCTTGTTGCATCTTCTATCAAAACTTAATTGCCAGATATATTAAATATGTGTTATGTATTTGTCATTCAACAGGTTTGATCAATATGAGAAGACACCTTGACCAGATGGCAGAGGCTGGGGCGGAGCAAGTCAAGCAACAGTCATCACATCTTACCCTCGTCTTTGTTTAAAAGTGCTTTTCTGTCCATCGGTCCCAGCGTGCTCTCTATAATTAATGCTTCTCCGGTTTCTGGTCAGGTCCCTGCTTACTTTAAGAACGCTGTAATCCACCCGCTTCTTAAAAAACCGAGTCTCGACCCCTCTCTCCATAGCAGCTTCAGACCCATCTCTAAACTTCCGTTCATCTCCAAGATCTTGGAAAAGGTTGTGGCTAAACAACTCACAGCTGCTCTTGATGAACATAACATCTATGATAGCTTCCAGTCAGGTTTTCGTAGAGCGCATTCTACTGAAACAGCTCTTCTTAGGGTCTCTAATGACCTTCTGACTCACAGTGATGCAGGGGACTGTTCTGTTCTGGTCCTGC